CACACACTAGGTCTCCCCCTCTCACACGGTCACACCCCTCTCACACGGTCACACCCCTCTCACACTATGCCACCCCTTCACACTGTCACCCCCCTACATTATGTCACCCTCCCTCACACAATAGGTCTCCCCCCCTCACACACTAGGTCACACCCTGTCACCCTCCTCTCACCCTGTCACCCCTTCTTACTCTGTCACCCACCCTGTGACCCCCCAAACTGTCACCCACCAGAACTCTGCCACCTCACTCTATCGCTCCTTACACACTAGGTCACCCCATCTCACACTTTCACCCCCTCACACTATGTCACCCCTCTTATTCTGCCACACTCTGTCACCCTCCCTCTCACTATGTCATCCCCCTCTTACTTTGACACCCCCCCTCTTACTCTGACACCTCCCTCTTACTCTGTTACCCATCTTCACTATGTCACGCTTCCTCTCACTCTGTCACCCCCCTTACACTAATGTAACCCTCTCTCACTGTCACCCCCTCTCACACTAGGTCTCACCCTCTCACACGGTCACAGCCCTTCTCACCCTGTCAGCCCCTCTTACTCTGTCACTCACCCTGTGACCCCCCGACACTGTCACCCACCCGTACTCTGTCACCTCACTCTGTCGCTCCCCACACACTAGGTCACCCCACCTCACACTTTCACCCCCTCTCACTCTGTTACCCCCATCAAACTATGTCACCCACCCTCTTACTCTGACACTCCCCTCTTACTCTGTTACCCACCTTCACAATGTCACCCTTCCTCTCACTCTATCACACCCCTTACACTAATGTAACCCTCACACTCTGTCACCACCCCTCACACTCTGTCACCACCCCTCACACTTTGTCACCCCCTCACACTTTGTCACCCCCTCACACTATGTCATTTTCCCCACACACTCTGTCACCCCTCTTGGTGCACACTGACACCCCTCCATACACATTGTCACCCCCCTCCATACACACTGCCTCTCCCTCCAAACACACAGGCACCACTCTCCGCACACACAGGCACCTCCCTTCATTCTCATTGTCAACCCTCAACACTCTGGCACCCACCTGCTCTTTTACACTCACCCTGCCACAGTTACCCCTTTACTCACCCTGTCACCCCCTGAAGGCAATAATTATACACACTGTCATAAAACATAGCTTCGCCATAAACTCAGTGCCAAAGGCCACAGGCAGTACACAAACATACACATGCACAGAGAAACATACATATACAAGGATCCTCACTGCCAGACACACACAGGTAGACAATGCAACGATGTATACAAAGACTAGCTCACTATAACCAGTGCTGCAAGCTCCCCCTTCAGTATATCTACAGCTTCTTATACACACACAAATCAACTGCTATTTTTTTTCAATAATGGTGTTAGTGGGGGCCTCATGTATGAGTTTCGCCTAAGGCCTCGCCAAGTCTAGAGCCGCCACTGTGTGTGTGCATCTGTCTGTAAGTATGTGTGTCTGCCTGTATGTATGTGTCTGTGTGCCTGTGTCTCTCTGTATGTGTCTGTCTGTATGTATGTGTGCCTGTCTGTTTGTATGTGTCTTTGTATCTGTATGTATGTGTCTGTGTGTCTATCTGTCAGTATGTGTGTGTCAGCATGGATGTATATTTGACTGTTTGTATGTATATGTCTCTGTATGTATGTGTGTGTGTGTGTGTATGTGTGTGTCTGTCTGTATGTATGTGTGCCTGTCTGTTTGTATGTGTGTGTGTCTGTATGTGTGTGTCTCAGTGTATGTGTGCATGTATGTGTCTCTGTACTTGTCTGTCTGTCTGTATGTGTGCCTGTCTGTTTGTATGTGTCTTTGTATCTGTATGTATGTGTCTGTGTGTCTGTCTGTCAGTATGTGTCTGTAAGCATGGATGTATATTTGCCTGCCTGTTTGTATGTATGTATCTTTGTATGTATGTGTGTCTTGTGTGTGTGTGTCTGTATGTGTGTCTTGTGTGTGTGTGTCTGTATGTGTATGTCTGTCTGTCTGTATGTGTGTCTTGTGTGTGTCTGTCTGTATGTGTCTCAGTGTATGTGTGTATGTATGTGTCTCTGTATGTTTCTAGTAATTCAAACATATTCATATGTAAGGTAGGAATAAACGATTGCGTCAATTTAGCTTAGTGTCGCTTGCCCTTACAGTGTTTCCTACTGCGCTTGACGAAAACAGGTTTAAACACGTTGGTATAACGTCTGAGCATAGCCTAGGCATAGTGGACTAATTAGTAAGCGGCGGCTTCGCTTTATACTGCACTCAGCTTTAAAGATCAGGCTAGGGCGTTTAGTTAAGCATGCGTAGCAGGCAACTCTGATACATCCAATTATTAGTTATATGGCCAGACTCCCCCCTGAGTAAGCTAGGCAAATAATGCATTAGTACGTCAGCTCAGCAGTTATGCAAGATTAGTTAAACATGTAGGCACGTTATATCCTATGCGATCAACCGAGATGGCCCCTGCCACACCAAGCCCTAATGTGCATGATAGGAGAGGTAAGTGTAAAGGGAAAAGAGATTTTGGTTGTACTTTTTAAACAAAGGCAGCAGGTAAGGAGAAAGTCCTAGTTAGTCCTGGCATGAGTTAGAGGGAAGAGAGTCAACTTTTAACAAATTAAACTTGGTGGTTTTTATTTTAAACAGATGAGGCACTTTACTGGAGCGTCCTGTGAAAAGTCCACGTGCCGAAGTTTGCAGTTGTGCTCCTCAGCCTATGCCCTTTAAGGTTAGGTCACAGTCCCGATTTGATGTAATGGGCATTGGGTGAAGTGTCTTGTGTTGGGGCCGGTGTAACAGGCTGCAGGGGAGTGAGAGCCGGACATATAGTTGCATACCTCGCCCCTTCAATCCCATTGAGTCGAGTCCATCGGTGCAAGGGTTTGGAGACTTTTTCAGGCCCTCTATGCACCGTCTACGTCTTGTACTTTCCTGTTCTGGATGCCTCCGTTGGGTTGCGGCATGTCAGTGAGGTAGGCTCGGGTGTACCCGTAAGGCTGCTGCATGGGTCCGGTGTGTTGGTGTCGGGCGGCCTTTGCCCCTGAATGATCTCTGCAGTGCCGCAAAGGGACCCCCTCGGTGTTGCCTGCTTGTGTTGTCTTGTACGGGCAGTGCTTGTGGGTGTACCGGTGGCGAGTTAGATCTCCGCTGTTCCGCAGTCCCGGGGTTTGCCTGCTTCTGCGGTGTTGAGGGTGCATCTGAGTGACACGGCTTGGTACGAGAGGGTGCCTGGTGCCGAGATGCCGTTTTGACTATTGTCGGAGCAGGAGGTTGGCTCTTCTTCTCTAGTCGCTCCCAGAATCGCCAGCATACGGTGTTGAATTTCGTCTGGAAGGCTGCTGCCCAGTCACCATCAGTCTGTTGCCCCAATAGCCGCAGTGCCCAGCCGCAGTGCCGTTGGCCATCTTGGCTGGGCCTTGTGGTTTCCATTGGTCGGAGTTGCGCCCTGGAGCCTCTCGGAGGTGAGTGCTCTCTGTGTAAAGGCAGACCGTTATAACCCCCGCAGGTCCAGAGGTGGGGGAACGGAGTCAGCTTGTTGTGGTGGTGGGAACGCAGCCGTCCCTCCCGTGCTTGCCATGTGGGTAGGTGTGGCAAACCTAGCCACTTACAGAGTATTATATATATATATATATATATATATGCCTGATGGTTGTTTCCATTGTGTCTCTATTCGTGAGAAACTTAACCCCTGTTAAATTTATCTGTATGTAAAGATTTCACCTAATGTTCCTATGCATTCATGTGTTACAGCACACGAATACCGCTAACACGCTGTTTCAAGTTTCACAAACAGTGGATTCCAACCCTGTTCGTGAAACGAACAAAAGACCGAATGGGAGACCACCCCAGAAGGTCGTGTGCCGCTCGTTAGTAAAACCGAAACATTGTATCCATCCGTTAATGAGCATTCTGTGTGTGGCCGCCGTTCGTGTACCGAACACGTGGTGGCGGCCATCTTTGCTTTGTTAGAGTTCAGCTGTGTTTGGTCGTCGAGTGCCTGCAACCGAAATCGGCTACTTGATTTCCAAACACCGCTGTGATAGTGATTGAGAAACTCTCTCCTTCGGGAAAATAAAACCATTTGTGAGTTTTCTCTGCTAAAACCCAGTTCGTGTAAATGTCTATTGTGAGCTGCGTTCGGTTGTTTCTGCAGGGATCAAAGTGGTACGTCGGTATATTGTACCGATCGATCCCTGCAATCTAATGAGGGGTCATTCGGTAAAATATGTGGTGAATTGCCAAATATGTGGTGAATTTAATGTAAAATTTTACTTTTTCCTGTGCCTGTTAGTAATGTAATTATCTGTGCCTGCTGACGTCATCTAGGTCCCTGTACAGTAGGGAATGCTGGGAAATGACCTTGCATGGTCAGTTTCCCACACAGTCCCCATGATTAAAACCCCCTGCTGTAACAGTTCAGAAACCCCTTGCATGGGGAACCGTATAAATTGGGTCACTTCACAATAAAGCCCTCAGTTGACCTCCAAGCTATGTGTCGTCTAGTTCTTGGGAGAAAGGGATTATAACTACGCTACCTGCATTTTGCCTACTTTTTACCTGCTTCACTCTGTCTACCAGCGGAGATACCGTGGGTAATACTACTACTCCGCTACAGTAGGCCTCTGACACTTGTCGAGTGAATGGCATTCGTAATGTTGCTTGGGTGGTGTCATTTTGTTCCTTTCAGTGTCACCTCTCATTTGCTAGCCTTTGTGTCACGATTAATCTCCGTTTTGTTAATAAATATCCGTTTTATTTGGTGATTAATAAAGGAGCTGCTGAGGCTAGTGTCCTTTCAGCTCTGCGGTCAGGCCCCGCCCCCGGCATATTTTTAAACCTTAGTATAGGATAATTATTTTGCTAGTTTGTACCAAGTCTAGTAGCAATTAGCATTTTTTCTGCCTTTTTGACACACATTTGGAGATGTTACTGTATATTTTGCCATCCTTATGTGTTCTACTGCAGTATAACACCTAATATGTTGCTCAGCTAAATATGAAATTTAGTCTATCGAAAATGATAAGAGGTATATCAGTGGAAATAGGCACAAGTTTAGATACATTTTACAGTAGGAATAGGTACAAATTTTAAATACATGTTAACAATAAGATAAATTCCACTTCCCAAATAGAATTACATCTTTCATAAGCACATCACCTAAGAGATTTATAAATTGCCATAAAATAGAGAACAGTTTTTTAGCCAAGTAGAATACCAGTCACTTTTTTTTGAGAACACTGACCAATTTTTAACCATATCGTTTTCCATTGTCAATTGGAATTTAATTTGATTAATTAGGGAAATTTTCTGAAAAGGAACAGAAGATTTCCACTGTCTAGCTATAATGATTTTAGCTGCAATGAAGCAGTGAATAGCTAAACAAGTATGTTTACTTGATTTAAAAGGCCAGTTCAGATGAAGGAGGGCCGATACTGGATTTTTGTTTATGTCTTTAAATGATACCTCATTCAAAGATATTTCAGAAAAGATATTATAGGTCCTGGCCCATAGTGGTTTTACTACTGGGCAGAACCACCATATGTGGATATATGTACCCGAATAGGTACCACATCTCCAACAGGTAGAATCTTGAGAAGGATACATTTTGGCCAATCTTGCCGGAGTGTAGTACCATCTATGGAGTAACTTAAAGTGGCACTCAGTCAAGTTTAGACCATGAACAAATTTATTTACTAAAATTATAGAAGAAAACCATTCCTTTGGGGAAATCACTAAATTGAGATCCTTTTCCCATGATTTAACCAGTTTATAGGGAAAGGTATCTAAGCCTTTAAAAAGCACATTAGCTACCGAAACAACCTTGGGTACAGTTTTGAATGAAAAAAGAATTTGCAACTCTTTAACCCGAGGAAAAAAAGACTGAATAACATGTTTCTGGATATAGTGTTTAATACGAAAATATGTAAATAATTCTTTAGATGGTATATGGAAATTATCCACAATCTGTTGAAATGGTAGGATATCGTCGCCCTGCATAATATCCGATAAGGTTAATATATCTTTGTTAGGCCAGTGTCTCAATGATAGATCCTCTACATTATTTTATAATATATTTAATTTACATGTTCTAGGAATTAAGTGACTTACGCCCAAAATTTTTCTAATTTCAACCCATGTTTCCAAAGAATGAGCCAATGATATTAAGCAATTCGGCAAATCCCTTAGGAACTTCCCAGGATCTGACCATATGTAAGAATAAAGAGTAGATACATGTAGCGCTTCAGACTCCAAATTATACCAAGGTTCAGAAAAAAAAAGTGGTTCTTGTAGAATATATATATGTCGTATAATATTAGCATAGTAAAGATTAATAATACTTGGATAGTTTAGCCCTCCCTGGGACAATTTGTTAGAAATATATTTTTGACTTATTCTAGGCTTTTTATTTTTCCAAATAAATTTATTTATGGCAGATTGTATCATAAGTAGCCACACCTTAGGGATTTTAAGGGGAACCATTGAGAACAAATACGACCATTTTGGTAAAATATAAGAATTAATAATGTTAATTCTGCCTATCCATAATGTTTCTAGATTTTTCAATTTTTTTAAATTTTGATTCATATCCTTCATTAGCTCTCCATTATATGGGAGGCGTTAGCAGAGAAACTAAGACCCAAATAATTGATTTCTAAGTCTGTCCAAATAAACTGATATTTTTGAGATAGCCTTTCAACCTGAGTCAAAGGTAAATTAATAGTTAAAGCAGTAGATTTTGAAACATTTAACTTGAAATTAGAGATATTAGAGAAATTAACAATTTCTTCCATTAATGTTACCAGAGCATCATCAGCATATAATGCAATCTTAATATCTTGAAATTTCATAGAAACCCCCTTTATTAACTGATTATTCCTAATATTAACAGCAAGAGGTTCAAGAGATAAAATGTAAAGAAGCGGTGACAAAGGACATCCCTGTCTTGTTCCATTTTTATTTATTTATTTATTTATTTTTATTTTTTTTAATTTTTTTATTTTGAAAATTTTATTAGAGATTCGCATAGATACATCAATTGTCAGTGGTATGTAAGGTACAATATATGAAACATCAGGATACAGTGGTGTTAAGGCATGACATTGGCAGTATGGAATGTACAACGGTTGTTATCGGGTCGTCTGACCTTGCATCATGTTGATACGTCATAGTTGGCATGAGTGTGCATTGTACCCAGTTGAACTTAATGCGGAGAGTGGCGATATCCTTATAGTGTCATGGGTGCACCTGACGGTTTGACCTATGGTGGCGGGTATGCAGCATAGATATATAGGCTCGGGCTGTTGTTGTTTTTGACGTTGTTCCCCGGACTCTAATTGGCAGCTCTAATTAGGGCTGAATCGCTTTTTCAGCGTGGGCATCAGACGAGCAGAGTTGTATCTGGTGATCCAGTAAAGGAAAACCGGGTTTCCCGATTGGGATGCTTGTCTGCCTCTAGGGTGCCAGGTGACCATGAGTGGTGCTGAGATAGTCGCACCATGGTTGCCATGTGGTTGTGTATGTGGAGTATTTGTCTGTGAGGGAGAGGCATGTCTCCTCTAGACCCCTAATAGTGTCGACTTTTTGTATCCATTCTCGGATGGATGGTGGATGTGGGTGCTTCCATAGTGCTGGAATAAGTTGGTTCGCTGCAGAGATCAGGTGTGTCAGTAGGCCTGCTGTCGATTTTGGTATGTTTCGGGGGGTGATCAGGAATAGAAAGAGTTCCGGAGTAAAGGGGACATGGGTGGATAGGACCGACTGTATCGTCCCATGTATGCGCTTCCAGTAGTGTTGGATCACCGGACAAGACCACCAGATGTGGGCGGTGTTGCCTTCGGGTGCATGACACCTCCAACATTGGTGTGGGTGTGTTGGAAATAGGGATCGTAATTTTGTCGGGGTGTAGTGCCATCTCACTACCCTTTTGTAGTTACTCTCTTGGATTGTGGTGTTTCTAGAGGACCTATGGATATGTGTGAATATGGCGCGCCACGTTTCTGGTGTGAAGGATGTGTTTAGTTCCTTTTCCCAGGACGAGGTAAAGGCCGGTGGATGGTGAGGCATTGTTTTAGCGATCTTTGTGTACATCTCTGAGATGACTTTCTTCTTTAAGGTATGTTCTTTACAAAGTGTTTCTAATTGTGTGTAGGGACGGACAGGATTATGTGCCAGTGGCCCTGTGAGTAGGAAATGTGAGAGTTGTTTGTATTGAAATGTTTGCAGTACAGTGTGACCCTCTGTTGTAGTTTGCAATGGTTTCACCTGAGTTCTCGTGTCGTCTATCACCTCGGCGAGGCATAGGTAGTGTGAGTCATGGTATTGCTTGAATGCCCTCCCATCCTCTCCCGGTTGAAAGAGAGGGTTGTGTGTTATTGGATATAACGGGGAAGGGTAAGGTGACATTGTCTGGTGAGTCCTTATCTTGGCCC